CCACCTTAGGTGTATGTGGCTGGCACCTTAGCCGCTTGAGCCACAGGCACCGAGCCGACCTTAGAGTTTTAAAATGAGTCATTAGGTCATTTACACAGCTCTTTAATTTCTATTAGGGCAAGACCATTCAATGCACTGGTTTTTAATATTTGATTTTTTAATTCAGCTTCCTCATTTATCAGGGGAACAAGACATTTTCTTAAATAAAAACCTTCTTCCTGGAAAAAGGGGCCTTTAAAGTTATCCCCAACAAACTCTAGTTAAGAATAAATGAATAAAGACAGAACATTAACAACTGTTCTTCCCAAGAGTTTTGGCCATTATCTCACCCAGTAAATTTCTTTTTTTAGTATGCATTTCCTTCAACTTTGGCTTAAACATATGTCCTTGTTAACTTTTCAGAAACAACATCAATATTTCTTTTTAGGGGTCATCCTTTCTCAGAATCTTCTGGGTCTGCAGCAATATCTTAAGCTAATTATCATCCTGGGTTTCCCCCTCAACTTTGCAGTTCATTTTTTTTTAGTGTATCCTGCACGGTGAGTTTTCACAAAGCAAAATTCCTTTTCATTCTGAAGGACACAAATGGGGCTTAAGAGGGAACATTTGATTAAGAGCTGCAAATGGAAAAAAAAAAAAAAAGATCTGCAAATGGAAAGAAAAAACACATAGCAATATCCTTAATGTGGGAATATTGTTTGTGTCTGCTATAGCGATGTGAAAAAATGGCTCTGCTAACTTTTCTGCTGGGGATACCAATGGTCACAGAGCTGGAGAGGTGGTTACCTTCCGAGACCACACTGAAAAAAGCCTGTTATTTTTCTTCTTCCTCTACCTCCTCCTCCTCCTTTTTTTGGCTTCCTCTTGAGCAAATGATTTTTTTCAAGCAAAGAACAATATTTTGAATTTGGTTCAGTAACATTCACTAAGTGTTACTTTGTGCAAGAGAACCAATTGCAGGCAACAAGAACCTTTGTTTCTCTAGGGTGCTTGAGACAATGTGTTTCCCTGAGCCCTGGTGCCAGGTTACTGAAGCCTTAGGTCAGCTAGCATGCCCCTTTCTGGCTGCCTTCCTTCATTCACTCCAGCCTTCATCAAGTAACTTGCCCCTGACCCTTGTTTCTCTAAAGCAATTCTGGTTTGTATTAATACATTATTTCCTTTCCTCTCCCCAAATTACTGTGCAACCAATATCAGATAGTTTCCTGTCAGTGAATTCCTAAATAAGCATTTCTAAAATATAGTTTTAAATCTTATTCCTTTCACCTTTCTCTGACTCAATCTCTTCTTCTCAGTTACCTCTACCCTGCCCCTGCCACATTCATTGGTTTGGTTGTTTCTTTTTTAGATTGCAGGAAAATGAAAAGATCTAAATAAGGGACTTTTTAATACTGAGCTCCTAAATAATGGACTAGAAATTGAGAATCATTACAAGCCAGAAGTCATTAAGGCTTCGCCAGAAATGGATGGGATGTGAACTTTTAATTGGTTTTATTACGCATGTGTTCCACTGACTTCCCCGGGGGCTTTTCTGGGATCCCAGGTAAGGATTCAGACATTGAGATGGAAAAATCCTGAATAAACATGAGAAGGCCTACTTGCCGGTGTGTATGTACGGTGTGTGAGGAGGTACAGGGAGCCTTCCCTAGCGGGTAACAGTGGTGGTAGAGTGTTAGTTTCCTCTCTCGAGTGTGTGTTTAGCGCGCCATCTAGTGACTGAAGCTCACAGAGGGAGTAAGACAGGTCCAGGGAAGACAAATACAGCTCAGTACCAGGGTAGTGCCCCTTCTAGGTTATTTCCAGGTCACTAATATGGTTGTAGTTTAGCTTTAACAAAGCAAGGGTG